CCCCCCCATCTCGGGGCTTGTGATCGCAGACGTCGTCGCCACCGTCTTCCTGGCGATCGCTGTGTATTGCATCACTGGCCACGACAAGGGACGCATGTCGCGAGGTGAGGAGAGAGTCCCACTGGCTGCCCGCCTGCCTGCGGGGACGTGGGGCACATGGGCATCCCCAGGAGCTGGGAGGGGAGCTCACCCCCACTGCGTGCTACCTAGGGACTTTCCGCCCTTGCCACGTAGAGCCCAGTTGCTGTGAGCCCTAGGCAGCAGCCAGCACACAGCGTGCCTAGGGGAGCCCCAGGAGGGAACTGTGTGAATGCACCACATACCCTTGCTACCTCCAGCTCAGCCTCCCAGGAAAAGCCACCAAATAGACGGTATTCACCCAAATGTCAGCCCAGGGGCAGCAGCTGGGCGAGCACTGGTGACACAGGAACATTGGAGGCCTTGCAAGACGCTGGAGCCCCTTGAGGGCTACACAAGGCAGAAGCTGAGGCCCCAGCCTGGGCTTGCCGTCTCTGTTTACAGACAGGCAACATGGTGCTCAGGGCAAGGGCTTTCCACCATTCCTCCCACAGGAGGTAAAAATGCAGAGCTGAAAGCAGCTGGCTGCTTGGGTTGGCTTACAAACGCTCCCCGCGCAATTGCCCCTGATCCTTGACCACAATCTTTCTTTGCTTAGCTTCTGACAGGCAGAACCTGATTGCCAACGAGCAGCTCTATCAGGTGAGTGTGCGCGTGGGCTCCGGCTCCTGTGCATGGTGGGGGGCTGCATGGCTGGGTAGCTGCAATGGCCCAGCTGCTGGGGGATGTGAGAGGCACTGAGCTGCAGGGATGATATCATGGTGTTGGTGATTGCTTTCTGCTGCAGAGTCCACTGCTGTCTCCCCCAGTGTGACCCAGAGGATGGGGCAGGCTCAACTCCCCTCTTACCGTCTGGGTTGTTAAGCAATCTGTGTGAGCAAAAGCTTGCCGAAAGCTTGGCAAGGGGAGGGCTGGCCCAGTCTCCTCTGCATCTTCCCTCCCAGGGCTGGACAGGCACTGTTGTAGCTCACCTCCCCTTTTTCTTCTCCTAGCCCCTCGGCGACCGGGACAATGGACAGTACAGCCGGCTGGGACCCGTCAAGGCCCGTAAGTGAAATGAGAAGATGCGCGGGGCTGATGACCCCGTCACACCAGGAGTAACGTTACAGTGAAGCTGTCGCCAGTGCCCAAGAGCGAAAGAAGCCAGGGTAGGACCCCAGCACTCCTTAGTAAACTCACTGCTGGCAGAAGACAGTCAGTTTTTGCCCAGAGAGCCCTCCAGCTCCCTGGAGGCCTCCTAGGCTGGGCTGCTTGTAGCTCTCTGCTCTTTTTTCCTGCTGCATTTTTGTATTTCTCCATAATTAAAGATGAGCCTCTTTTATAGCCTCTTGGCTGCATCCTTTGTGTTCAGGCCAGGGGAGCCGTGCAGTGCTGCTGGGGGAGACATGTGCAGGATGTAGTCTCTCTAGATGTCTGCAGAGCTGTAGGGCTCCTGCCTGTCCTGGGAGGACACTGCTCTGCCAATGCAGACAGTTGTCCGTGGCTGTACCACCTCTCTGTGCCTGGACCCAAATGACATCTGGGCTGTTGATGAAGCTGATGGGCAAGGGAGAGGAGACCCTGCGAAGGGAGAGGGCTGCTGCTCCTGTCACTGGGAGAGGCCTTGCCTCATTAAGCTCCCCTTCCAGAATGGGGAGTGGGGACACAGCAGCACTCGGCAGAGTCTGCATCGGCGTGCCTGCCTCAGTCCCCTGCACAGAGCGGGGGAGCTGGCAGGACTGGGGACGGGAGGACATACCCTCTGCACATGCAAGGCTTGGTGTCTAATGGCAGTCTCCAAACCACAGAGGCCTGCCAGGTCCCTGGCACCCAGCCAGCCTGCAAGTTGCCCCAGTGCTTTGGGGAGGGAAGCATGAGCAAAGCAGCAGCCATGCTGGCTCCCCAGATCAGCTCGCGTGGGCTGAGCCCAAAACGGAAATGGAAACGGCAGAGGGGGCAGAAACTGCAGCGGAGACTGTGCAAAACACTTGGCAGCAGAGCTGGGCAGGCAGCAAGGGCCAGGGACAGCCCACACTCCCTGCACCTCTGATGGTCTCTGGAGGGTCCCCACCCAGCTCAGCCTCCCCAGCCCACCGGAGAGTGACCCACTTTTGTCACCGAGCCACAGCGA